ATTAAGCCAACAATTGTTGATAGAGTAAGAATGACCTTTTAAGGAATCAAACCAGTTCATCAGTAACCAGCCATGAATAATATTGTTGTAATTCTCAGCAACTAGGTCCAGATAAAATTGCATTCCTGTGGGTGACTCTTTTCCTCCAGTGCTGACCTTAATAAGCTGGGGAAGCTTAGTGGGTTTCTAGCTCCTCTAACCATTGGAGACTTTCCTTGGCACCCAATATAGAACTGTTAAAAAGCAATTTCACTATTGGTTATGAGCCCAGAGTTTCATTAAGGTGAGATTCGAAAGTTTTTATCCTAAGCGGGGCTTGGAAAGCCAAGAGTAGCTCAGTTTGAACTTCATTAACTCTTTCTGTTAGGGAGACTGTCCTCCGAAGTACTTGAGTTGAACTTTGCCGTCAGAGAAAGCTGAATTTGAATCCTGCCTCTGCCACTTAACTGACCGTCTGACCTTGAGTTATTTCACTCTCCCCAGTATTTTTCCTGTGCCTAAGAAGGGTTAATGACAGAACCTTCTTCATGGGGTGTGAGGTGTTGTGGGTGGTGGTGGTGGGGAGGAGGCAAAGATAAGAGCTCAGGAAACGTTAGGTTTTGTTGTTATTTATCAAGTCAGGATGCTGGACACCTAAAGGGTGCCACTTCTATAGCAGATTATACACGTTTGTTATTCCTGTGGCTTTTCTGTTGTCAGGACTCAGCGTTACAGTCTGTGTGGTCACGTGGGGCAAAGTTTTGGTAGTTCAGGTAATCAGTCCCCGTGGCGAGGGGGCGGGGGCAGAGAAAGAGAGAGACAGGGAAATGGACCGATGAGCAGGGGTGCCTGCAGCACATCCGGAGAGCGTCCCAGATGTTGGGGTTCCCCTGCCTCCCTCTTGGGCTTGTGAGTATGAGCTGGGAAGTTTCTAAACTGCCCTCAGTGATGTTAAGATGGAGAGAAGTGACCATCCCTGCCTGAGCCATAAAGTGACATATTCCTAAGGAGATAGTTTGGCTGTAGAAATGAGGCGATTGCATTAACTGGGGATTCAGATCATAGCCCAGAAAACAACAGTTTTTTGTTGTATCCTGGTTACCAGCATTCAGGATACACATAATACTTGAGAAGAGGTGCTTATCTGGTTTTTTTTTTTTTTTTTGGCCATAAGTCATGTATATTAAGTAAAATTAACCCCTTTCAGGCATACAGTTCTGTGAATTTTGACAGAAGCACTCGGTCGTGTAATCACCACTGTAATCAAGACATTTTCATCACCCCGTAACGTTTCCTACCTCTGCCCTCAGCTTCTGAAACTATGGCTTGCTTTATCATTTCATCTAGGTGTAAAAAAGCGCCCACTTGCCAGAAGTCTTGAATTTTTCTAGAAAACATTTATCGTTAAATACGGGCTTGCCAGAGGTCATGGACTCATGCAGGACTCTGGCTGCAGTCAGCGAGCTCTGGTCCGTTCGTTCATCTGTTTGTTCAGCAGAGATTCGCTGAGCAGCGCTCTGGTGCAGGCAGGAGTGTTGTTACGACTTGCTGCAAAAAGTTCTAGTGCAGGTTCTCGACAATCTCAAGGGCCCTAATTAGGTTAGGAGATGACACACAAATAAAAAGTTAAATAAAGATATATGGAATTAACTTGCAGCACGTGGCAGAAAGTCAAGAAATGTCACGAGGTCGTGTCACATTGGAGTTTTGGCTGAGCAGTGGGGACAGTGAGTGAGAGGCGCTCAGGAAAGAGAGGTCAGTCTGTTCTGGGGTGGTCAAGAAAAGGCTCCAAAAAAAAAAAACACCACAAAAAAACCAGAGGCATTGTGAATACTGCTCGTTGCTCACCCTCCCCTTCTACTTCCTCCCTGCTCTGTGTCATTGCTTCACTGAAGTCTTTGATTCCTCGAACTGGAAAAAAAAATTCCACTTCCTCAACTCTCATCACATGGTCCCGCCCTGCCTCCCCCTCCTTTGTCTTTTCACTACTGTCCTAAACTTCCTCTCTAGGTTATTAGGTGCCGGTCTGCAGCCCTACTGGACTTAGTATAAACCAGGTCTTTGACTAGACTGACCTTTCTCTGCCCCTCTTAGTTCTTGACAGCAATGTCCTGTACAAAGTAAGTGCTCAATAAAGCTTTGTCGGTTGAATCACCAAGTTGGGCATTATGGGAAAAAACAGTGAGGGAGAGAATTGTTAGTCAGAACAGAGGGATATAATTAGAAAAATGCTGAAACTGCTGCCGTTGTTTATACTCCTAATTAGCTTGCTATCTCTCTATTTACAATGACAGTGCAAAAGGAAATGAACTTTGGAGTATTGGAAGTTAAAGTGGCTTTGATATAAATCAGATTTATATAAGAGCTGAATTGCCTTAGAGTATTGCTCGTACCCACCCCTTACACACACACACACACACACACACACACACACACACACACACACCCACACCATTTGGTTTCTGTCTCCACTCATTAACTGCTTCTTAGGATTTGGGAAATCTTGTTTTCCTGCTCTTTTGTTTTGTTTGGGAGAAGAGGCAGAAGAAACTTGAGAGAGGTCAGTGTCGGCGCTCGGTCTGTGTCTAGTGAACTGCATAATTGATGTTCTCGTGCTCAAAGAGATAGTTAAAAGGATAAAATAAGAATCTGGGAGTCTGCCTGCCATATTTAGCCTGCCTTCTTTTTCTTTCACTTTATCCCCTCCAGGAACACCTAAGTAGCATCCAATTTCCCTTCCATTCTGCATGCTGTGGCTTTGTGGACTCTTTTATCACATCCCCACATCTCCTTTCCCAGCCTCCGTGGTGTCTTTTCTTTCATTAGAGAACCCACGTATTCTTACTCTCTTCTAAAACCTTCCCAGAGTAGAAATCAGCTAATGTTCTCCCTACCTTATGTTAGTCATTTCATCACCTTCTCCCCTCCAAAAAGCAATCATAAGAGGAACCCATTTCTAAACAAAAATACTTGAGCAATTAAAATACTTCGAGCAGTGAAAACAGGAGCTTGTCCATGATAGCTAACTTCTCCAGGAGCCTTGAATGTGGACTCCTTCCTTCCTAACCTGAACGTTTTATAGATGGCCTAAAAAATGTCAGGGACATAGAGCACTGCATATAATCTAAACATATGACTTTGGACAAGTCACTCTACTTCCCTGTGCCTGAGTTTCTTCATTTATAACAGGATAATGATGATTTCCCTGTCATTCTCATGGGATGAAATGTTAAAATAACTTATACATGAACCATGAGTAAAACATCGATTATGATGGCAAAGTGCTTTGAGGCCTTCAGGAAAACACTGTTGTTCCCATGTGCTTATTGGTACCAGTTTTCAGGCATATTATATCTAATTAATGGCCAGCTGACATAAAATGTCAGCTCTATTTACAAGTAGGGCAAGATATTAGGGGCATTCAAATGAAAGCCATAATGAGATTACTACACACCTATCAGAAAGGCTAAAGCAAAAAAATAGTCACAGTAGCAAAGGCTGGTGAGAACAGGTATAAATTAGATCATCCACACACTGTTGGTGGAAATGTAAAATGGTATAGCCACTCTGGACAATATTTCGGTAGTTTTTTTGTAAAGCTAACATTTACTTATGATCCAGCAATTGCATTCTTGGGCATTTATCTGAGAGAAATGGAAACTTATGTTTATACAAAACCTATGCACAAATGTTCAAAGCAGCTTTATTTGTAATAGCCAAAGAATAGAAACAGCCCAGAAGTCTTTCAGTGGGCAAACAGTTAAACAAACTGTGGTACATCCGCACCATGGAATCTTACTCAGCAATGAAAAGGAACCAACTATTGATACACACAACAACTTGAATGAATAAATTTCCGGGGAATTATGCTGAGTGAAAAAAAGCCGATCTCAAGAAGTTACTGTGTGAGTCTATTTATGACATATTCTTGAAATGACAAAAATTAGAGAAATGGGAAACAGTAGTAGATGTCATGGATTAGAGCCAAGGGGAGGAGGCCGAAGGAAGGTGGATATGGTTACAAAAGAGTAACAGGAGATGCTTGTGATGGAATTGTTCAGTATTGGACTGTGGCGGTGGGTACTTGAAACTTCATACACAATACAATTCCATAGAACTAAGTTCACACACATTAACAGGTACAGAGAGGAGTACAAGTAAAACAGGAAATCTGGACTAGGTGCGTAGATTGTTACCAATATCCTGATATTATACTATGTTTCTACAAGATGTTACCATCAGAGAAAACGTGGATAAAGGGCACGAAGGACACACGGGTCTCTGTTATTTCTTACAACCATGTATGAATCTACAATGATCTCAAACTAAAAAGTTTAATTTACAAAATCGAGGCAAGATTTAGAGCCAGGTGGTCAGAATTCACCTTGACAGTGTTCTGAGGGGGTTGATGTTGCTGATGCGTGTTAGAACAGGGAAACCATTCCGTCCCATTGTTCTGAGATTTCATCCAGAGCTCACATTGCCTGCAGAGTAGGAAGAGGGCTAGGAGTAAGAATAGAGCACCCCACAGATACAAATGACATAAGGGGGAGGATTTTGGTGGTCCTTCCTCCTTACTAAGATTTGATAATGTCTCTCTAGACCCCAGGACACAGATAATAACAACGGCTTCCATCAGAGATCGAGCAGAGAATAGAAGTGGGTCAGATTCAAAGCACTGTCTAGCTGGCCTTGGGGCTGGGTCTGGATGCAGCTTCTGGTCCTACAGCCTTGGCTGTGACTGGATTAAGTTTGGGACTTTGCCACATGTAAGCACCATTGCCAGGCATGCTGGAAATAGTCCTGGGGAGCCAGGTTATTGGCGAGCTGCTTCTCTGGGGACGTTAACCCAAAGCTACGGTTTGCTCTTCAGTTTCATGGCAGATGACGTGTGGTGACTAAGAATCTGACTCTTGGCTGTTTGGCTCTTTTGGGAAGGTTTTCTATCTTGAGAGAGTAGAGTGTACTTGAATTGTGAAGTCAGGAGACGTTGGTTCATGATGTTTCTGTTTTCTTTGAAGTTGTAGGACAGTCACATCTGGACAGCAACATTGAGGATCAAGAGATTGTCACTAATCCGCCGGATATTTGCCAAGTTGTGGAGGTGACCACTGAGAGCGATGAACAGCCGGTCAGCATGAGTGAGCTCTACCCTCTGCAGATTTCTCCTGTGTCTTCCTACGCAGGTAAGGGGGAGGAGGGGACCGGTGGAACTGAGCAAGGAGCAGGGAAAGGCAGTCCTTTAGTCTAGGGGCACCCGTTTCACCACACGGCAAAAAAACAAAAAACAAAAAACAAAAAACAGAAAAACCTCTCCTCTCTCCTGGAGATTGTTCTTGCTTTAATTTCCTCAACCAAAATCATCTTGGACACTTTTGTTCTCGCCCATAACATTTTCATGCATGACTAACAAATAAATAAGATTTCTTTGGGGGGAAGTAGTTCATCCGAGTCTACTTTACTTGCACGAATTATCAGAAATTTGGAAGAGTGTTTGTAATGGAATCTGAGTTTAACCAAGCTGGATAGGACCTTAGCGATCATCTCTTTCAATTCCTTCATTTTGGGAAGCGAAGGGACTTGTTCCATGTCACACAGCCAGTAAGTGTTTGGGTCAGGACTTGAACTAAACTTTCAGACCCCAAGACCCATTTCATTGCACCGGGTTTACTTGTCACTTCCACATATGTTCCCTTTCTTTTTCGATTTAGTACAGCTTCTGATTGGGCCAGGCCACTGAGCCCATTTCTGATTCCCCAGGGAATGCCCACATAATTGCAAGAGCTGGCCCAGACGGGTTTAGAACCCGATTCGGTTGGTTCTTCCATCTTTACAGGATAAATTGATGGATTCTTTTTCCTACTAGCGTTACATCATCTTATGCTCTCTTCCAAGTGATCTCCGTTTAGTTTTCTTGGGACGCAATTATAATTAGAAAATATAAATTACGAGTCAGTGTTATTGCTTACAAACATTAAAAATAAAAAGCAGAGGCCCTATCATGAGTAACTACAGTCAGCTCTAACAAATGGTTCAGGAATTCTTCCCAGTGTCTTTTTTATGTGCGGCCAAATAGAGTGTCCTTCAGCTGAGGGGCCACCCCAGTGACTGGCACAGAATCAGCATTAGAATTCGGCTGATTCAAATGACAGGTTGTTTGTGAATTATCGGTCCTAAATAACCGGAACCGCAATTTTCTTCTTAAAAATTGTGGTAAAATATACATAACATAAAATTTTCCATTTTTCCTATTTTTAAGTGTACAGTTCAGTGGCATTAAGCGCATTCACACTGTTGTGCAACCCTCTCCACCAGCCATCTCCGGAACATTTTCATCTTGTAAAACTGAAACCTAACTCCCACTCCCTCCTCCCCCCAGCCTCTGCCAACCACCATTTTACTTTCTATGAATTTGGCTACTCCAGGCACCTCATGTAAGTGGAATCATACAGCATTTGTCCTTTTGCGACTGCCTTGTTTCACTTACGTGATGTCCTCAGGTCCGAACTTTCTTTTGTGCAAGGAACACTAAAGGAACGTAAGACCAAACCTTGCCTACAAGGAGCTTATCATCTGTCAAACAGGTTAAGCTTGATATCAGCTACTTTTATTCATCAAGCATACTTTGAACTCCTATGTGCGGGTCCCTTGTTGGCCTTTGCCAGTCCCCACTAATAATAACTATGATTTCTTGCATGTGTATTGTGCCCTGGGAGCTGTGCTGATGCTTGGAATCCATTGCCTTAATTGTATTAAGAATAACCCTATCAGCCTGGGTACCATCACTATTCCCTCTTGAAAAGTTAGGAATCCAGGGTCAGTCTGGGTAAAGCAGCGTGTCCAAGGATGAACAACAGAGCAGCACAGTTGGAACCCACATGTAGCTTATGCCAAAAGACTGCTCTTCATCCTTCTGTCCTAATGCTGCCCTGTACAGCCACATCCATGGTCTCAGAGACCCACCAAGGGAGGCAGAGCAGAATGTTTCTGCCTTAATTTTATAGCAGGTATAACCGAAGCTTAAAACACTAAGCTACTCTGCTTATGTTTACATAGCTCTGGCTAAAACTCTGTGACTTATTTCTGTATCATGCTGCTGCAGGCATTACATCCCATGTAGGTTTTTTTTTTTTTTTTTTTTTTTTTTTTTTTTTTTTTTTTTTTTTTTTTTTTTTTTTTTTTTTTTTTTTTTTTTTTTAAGGGGTTGGGGCTTTAGAATAGACTTTTTCTGTTGCTGTGTTGAGTAAGACTTTTGTAAAGTCTTCATGGAGATTCTGGAAAGACCTCTTCTTGCTGTTCTGCCAGCAGTGGCATTTTGCTTTAACAGAAGAATCCCAAGAACAGCTGATTCATGCAGAGAGAAATGAAAATTTCATTACCCTTTTCAGGATATTTGCATAGGTTTGAAAAAAAGGATTTCTGTGCCAGGCTGGCAGGCGGCGGGGTTTTGTTGGAGCCTGGCCTTTAGTTCTTTCTGTTGTTTTCATTGTCTGAATTCTCCAAAACCCTTTGGAGAGAAGCATATTGGTTGGAGCCAAAATGTTTCATCACTACTATTTTTCCAGAGCCTACAGACACATAAGAAATGTATCCGTTACTGACCGTGGCCAGTTTGTCTTATTTAGGCAGGAATTTTAGAGCATGCTGCTGGGAAAGGCAGCTTTTCGGTTGTATTCACCTTCCCACCTTCATGTTCTCCAACAGGATTGGCTATTTGCCTGTTTTCCATGACAGGGTTTTTTTGTTTGGATTATTCAACTGAATTTCAGCCTCCTCCAACCACTTCCATTCATTTGTTTAGGAAACTGGTATTTGGAAGCTGTTGTTAGCTATTTTTTCCCCCTACTGATCACTGAAATATAATCCCAGTAATATTACAAAACCACATTCAGTTTGCAAGTCTGTCTTCTCCATGGTCTAAATACTATGGTGAGCAAGAAGACAGACCGTTTCTTCGAGCGGAAATACTTGCATTGGACATTTTAAGACAACATGAAATTCTAGTTGGATTTGTAAACCTTTCATCCTGGGGAGGGACGTCCCAAAGCCCGTCTTGGGAAACTAGAGGAGAGTCATTTCATTTTCGAAGGTCAACCATAAAGTGGCCTCTTGCTTGATGTGTGGCACCAAGATTTTATTAGGTTCTCGATGGTTTCGTAAAAGAAAGCCGCAAGAGCATTTTGGGGAAGGCCGGATAAGAGGATGGAGACTGGCTAGAAAGAAAACATGGTACAAAGGATTAACCAGTTATAACCGAGGGAATGGAGATGGCCTGATGACCAGCGACCAGGAGTGAAGATTCTGGGTCCTTATGGAAACCATTGCATTCTGTTGGGTGTGGCAGAGATAAAAGTGCTTTGAGATTAAGATGACTCGATTTAAACCGTTCCATTGAGGCTTCTAGTGAAAGTAATTGAGGAAACGATCTAGGGCAAGAAATCCTCTTCAATCTTAATAAGACTCGTTGAAGAAGAGCCCTCCAGAAGATGGACCAGGATGTCAGAGTGCAGAAATGCTTCATCATAAAACATATTGTCTCCCCCTCATAATGTTCCTGAGATGGTTTGACAGTAAAAACGGGGCTGAAGTGGAGTCTTAACCTGAAACGAGGGTTCTGCAGCCCTGGAACTGCAGCCCTGGAAGGAGAGTCTGTGAGCTCATCTAATCCAAAGCCTTCCCTTCCCTCTCACCTGGTTGCTTTCAGGGAGACTGAGACCAGAGAGATGAAAGGAATTACTCATGTACCTGTTAATGCTCTTTCGACTTATTCGGACCATGCTAGGGAAGCAACTCTCAAATATTTGTCTTCTGTTGGATTCAGAGTAAATAAAAAACAAAGCCAAATGAATCAAAGGGGAAAATGAAATAACTCGTGTTGCTATTTCAGCAGTAACGTTACTCTGGACGCAGCAGCTGCAGTGAGCTCATTTGGGGTATAAGAAGTCATCTTGAACATGGCGCTGGTGAAGTCAAACCATGCAAACAGAGGAAAACGGCCATGAGTAGCTCCAACAAAGCACTTCGAACCAATGGTTCAGGGGTAGCTATGAGAACCACTCTTATTCTAGAGAGCAGGGCCTTGGGTCCTCAGGCTGGAGCTTCAAGCATCTTCTGCTCCTAGGCTGAAGGCACCCAAGGCCATTCTTTTCAACAGTAACAATTAGAAATCTCAGTGTGCTGATATGAAGAATCTTTATAACTACTTCAAAAGCGGTTGATCTTAATTTAGAAACAGCGCTCTCAACTCACATTTATGTCTAAACTAACAGTTTAGAACGTGTGTGTCTTGTCTCCAGCTATTTCCCTGAAGTTGAAAACTGGGCACTTAAAGTTCAGTTATCATTCTGACCACGTATCCTGGTCTGTGCAAGGTCTTTCTGAGGGGTCTCACCCGGGGTCTGACAGGTTCCAACTCTCCCACAACGTGGGCTGTGGTGGGATACCAGGCCCTTGGTGTTAACTGCTCATTTTCACATCTTTCCAGCCCCCAAAGCATGCCCATTGGCATCTGTTTGTTTTTATTTGAAGGGGAAAGGAACAGAAGATGATGATAGTTATGAGGAATAATCAGGAGTAGAGAGGCCTAGACATATATGAAAGGAAGAGAAACCTTGGCTTGAGAGTACAGAGAAAGCTGAGCATTAAAATGGAAAGGGGATCTTGAAATCCCATCAGAGGCCGGAGCGGCGGGCATGCTTCAGAACCGGTTGCTGTGTTCAGTACCTCAGGCCCCGAGCACAAGTGCCGTGTTATTTTCTCTCCTCTACGCTGACTCAGTCTGCAACTTTGGCAGGTTTCTCAACATCTCTGTTCCTCATTTTTCTTGGGAGTGGCACACTGATTCCTGCCTCCTCGGGGTGCGAGCTAGCGGGAGGGTTCTGTGAGGAAGGGGTTGGGGATTTTCCTTTCTGTTGTTCCAAAAACAATTCTGTTGTTTTTGAGTGGTAACATTTCTCCCTCCTGGCATCGCCACTTTGTCTTGCTGGCTGGTGCCATTACCAGCTGAGGGTGTGTCGCTCCCAGTCAGGGCAGCTGTAGAGAAGTCTGCTCGGTCTGAGGAGACGATAAACCTGTCTTCAGTTGCTCACGGTCACTCTCGGCCGTGATCACTCGTGTCCGGGAGAAGTCACTGCAGAACGGTGACCGAGAAACATGCCAAAAGGCTCTAGGTGGGGCCAGTATGTGGAGTTCTCGTTTTCTTTGTGTAAGGAACCTCTGGCTCAGTGTGTCCATTTGTTCTTTAGCCTTTAATGTATAGAAAGTCTGGGCTGTGGCTGGAGCTCTGGGCATTCAAAAGGGCTCTGCCTGGGCTGGGTCTGTCCCAGCTGTGCCACCAGCAAGAGGTGAGACTAGAGACTAGTTTCTCTGTAGGCTTGGCTGAAGGGGAGTTTAACAGGGGACGGTAGGAGCTGCTCCCCAGTTTAGAATTTTTGTGAGGGCTAAAGGACCCCTGCCTGCAAAGGCGCCCGCACAGCCTGGCACTCTGCATTCCATTAACGGTCACTGTCACGGTTTCTCTTTAAGCCTCATCTGTGAAATGAACGGCCCAGCCTCAGGGGTTGCTAAGGGTCTGTGTACGTCAGAAGTTCTACCTTCTGTACTTTCATTGCTCAAAGCTGTGAGCACTGAACAACTGCACGCCAGCAATTTTTTTACTTAAAAAAATGTTCAATTTTACTTTAAAAAGTTAAAATTTTTTTTTACTTAAATCTTGTATTATAGGTACAGGTGATATGTGATCACTAGCTATTAACTTAGAGTCTGTTATTCGAGCATGTGCACATACATCCAGTGTTGACCAGGGCTGAGGAGCTCAGCTCAGAGGCACGCGTAGCATTTACTGAGCGTGCGCTGTGTGCCGTGCACCAGGCCCTGCGCCGGGCCTTTGCCCACACTCTCACGCACTCGTCACGCAGCCCTCTTTGGAACATGTATACTCCCCTTTTGCAGATGAGGAAACTGCAGCTCAACGAGGTTAAGTAACGTGCTCCATGCCTCACAGCTGGCAGGCAGAATCAGGATGGTAATGGAATTAGTTATCTGTGGCTGCATAACAGTCTAACGAACAAACCTAGTGACTTGAAACAACACACATGTATTATCCTGCCGTTTTGAGTGTCAGGAGTGCAGGCATGGCCAAGCTGGGTCCTCTGCTCAGGGTACTCGCTGCACAGTCCTGCAGTCAAGATGCAGTCCAGGGTTGATGTCCTGTCTGAGGACCGAAGGGGGATGATTTTCATTCAGGTCCCCGTGGTTTGGAGCAGAATGTGGTTCCTTGAAGGTTATCACATCGAGGGCCCCAGTTTCTTGCTGGATGTTGACTGGAAGCAGCCCTTAATTTTTTCTCATGTGAGCTGTACGAACGTGGCTGCTCACTTCCTTGAAGCCAGCAAGAGAAAGTCTCCTCACAGGACAGATTTCAGTTTTACCTTACGCAATCACACACATCGTCCCATCCCTTTCGCCGTGTTCTGTTGGAGTCACAGGTCCCATCCACAATCTCAAGGAGGAAATCCCACAAGAAAGTCAACACCAGGGGGTGAGGGTCATGGTGGCCACCCTAGAATCTGTCCATCCACAGTAACCCGGGTGGGAGATGCAACTGATAAATCCAAGATATAAGTGCTAAAGAGGTACGAGGTAAAGGAGGGATCAGTCGAATGGGGGTGATCTAGGGCAGGGGTCCCCAACTCCCGGACCGTGGACTGGTATCAATCCTTAGCCTGTTAGGAACCAGGCCTCACAGCAGGAGGCGAGCGGCGGGCAAGTGACCAAAAGCTTCATCTGTATTTGCAGCCACTCCCCAATGTAGCATCACTGCCTCAGCTCCACCTCAGATCATCAGGCATTAGATTCTCATAGGAGCACCGGTCCCTGGTGCCAAAAAGTTTGGGGACCGCTGATCTAGGGAGTCTCTGAGTTGGGACTAGATGAACTCTGACACAGCCTGGAGGAGAGAACCAGTGTGGGGCATCGTGGGGAGAGCAGTGGTGAGGACTGGGTCTGGCGTGGAGGCAGGAGTGAGCAGGGGGCACCGGGAGACGGGCACCATGGGGACCAGCACCCCATCCCGGGACGTGGTGGCCGTGAGTCAACTTAGCCTGGCCCTTGGAAAGTGAGCCACTCCTCAATTCTAAAACCTTTCTCCGAAGGGCTAAAATCACAAGAACCATATTGACTCTAGCATCTCCCAAGTACGAGGGTTTGACCTTACAGAGGGGACAAACATTACGAGTTTAGTTATTCATTTATCTTTGGAGAAGTGCTGATACATTTTCTTAAACACTGCCTGAGCCTCGAAACAGTTTGTGTGGCGGGAATGATGGCCCTGTGTTTTTCTCTCTGTGAACAGAAAGCGAAACTACCGATAGTGTGCCCAGTGATGAAGAGAGCTCCGAGGTAAGCACGGCTGCCGCTGCTCACTCCCGCCACGTGGGGGGAAGGCGTCCCGACCAGCACTGGGGCTTCCTTGCCGCTGGTTAAGTTTCTTTTCTTTTGATCGTGATTTTTACTTCGGACGTTTTTTTGTGTGTGTGTGTGTCTCTCTGGTAAAATACACGGAACATTAAATTTACCGTACTTTTGGATTTTGAATTATAATACTGAGCTTTGGGAACCGAATGGGAGGAAAGGGAGTGAGATGTTAGCATTAGAAAGAGAGGCTATGACGGCAGGAAAAGGAAATTGAAGTCGAGGCTGGGAAATGTTGATCTTACTACTATAAACATCCTAATTCGCAAGCAGAAATAGAATGTCCGGGTGGCCAAAAGCGATGACCGGAAGTGAACGTCAGAAAGTGCTAAGCAAAAGTATCACCACAGGTACCTGGAGTCCCCTCCCCCTGTGATCCCTGCCCAGCGGCCCAGAGGCCAGGTGTGTGTTCAGTCTTGATTTTCAGTCGCCTGCTTCCCATTTCCCTCTTCCCTCCTCTAGGCTGGGCTCACAATGGCAGGA